ACTTTTCTGCAGAAGGGTTTGGGTTGGCAGTACTCCATCAACAGCTTCTACAAATCTCATAAAGACCTCTTGTTAGTCTGACCCTCAAGGACTCTCCTGGGCTATGACATAACTGAGAACTGAGCTGGATCTTCTTGGGTTTTCATGGCTCAGAATGAAAGCCATTCTCAGAGAAATTTGATGTAAATAGTCATGACACACTCCTTTCCCCATCCCCACCTCAACCCCTCCCCCCACTCCTATGATTTCGCACAGGTGTTCATAGTATCTATAATGTACTAGCTCACCCTCTCTTCTAACTGTTTATTAGATAAAATTAGTCACTCAGTGTAAATAGAATCTTTATGGAAGATAAGCGGAAAGCAAGAATGAAAGGAAAAAAATTCCTAGATATTGTAAGCTGCCTTGACTATGTTTATTATTTCCCTCTAATCTAAAGTTGTTAACCTGTGCTAATCATTCCCTTTGGTGGAAGATTTTATGGGCTAGCCCATCTGTTCTTGCCCATTTGAGTCCTGAAATGCAGAGGTAAGCCATATTAAGTATTAAAGTCTTTTAATTAATTATACTGCTGTGCTTAAAATTATATTCCTAAGTGTTGACTGTGAACATCAAAGTAGAAATTGGACCTTTTCTATGTGTTTTCCACCTGACTCAAATGGAAACAACTTATGATTAAGCACTACAGACACAGATATGTAAAGCTAGATGGATCCTTAGAGATCATATAGTCCAACTCCTCAGTTTACAGATGAATATAAATATGAGATTGAGGCCCAGAGAAGTCAAGGAAGCTTAAGTAAGCATCTATGTTCAGAATGTATAGGTTTCCAGACTCCTAGTTCAGAATATTTATATGAGACCCCATGACTCTACTTATCCCATGCTTTTTCTCACTTTCTCTTGGTTTCTCCAAGTGTTTTTATTTTATACAAGAGAAGCTGGCATGTGGTTGCAGTTGTCTTTTCTAACCAGCATGCTTTTTGGTGAGGCAATCGGGGTTAAGTGACTTGCCCAGGGTCACACAGCTAGTAAGAGTCAAGTGTCGCTACCTAGATGCTCCTCAGCATGCTTCTTAAACTCCAATTTGTTCAAACATTCCCCAAATGATGAGCATCCATTTTGTTTCCAGTTTCTTTTCTTTTATCTCTTCCTCTTCCTCCTCTTCCTAGAAGCACGGCTGTGCATGTTACATATTGTTACTTTTTTTTAATGTAAGATATGTACTGACATCATCTTTCCATAAGAAGTGGATTATACATTCTTGATGTGGGAGGGAACTGGAGATCATTTTTGAGACCATTGTCATCTTCTATGGTATCTGGGGTTTAATGGTTTTCCACAGCCTTTAAGCTAATTCTATTAAAAAAAATCACATCATATTCCAAACATTATAAAACGGAATGAAATTACTTTTAATCAAGTGAGTAAAAGTAGTTTCATCGTCATGTTCGATCATAAAAAGATTTTTTTTCTCAATAACAGAATTTCTAACAAACCAGCAAAAGGGTAGTTTATAGAATAGTCTTCCCTTGGTAGAGAGCTTTAAAACTGAGATGAAATCACCAGGGTTATAACTAAGAATATCTATGTTCAGAATGTAATTATAAGAACTAACTTCCCTGGAAGTAAATTTGGGGGACCCAAACATGTTAACAACTAGGCAGAAGGAAAGTGAGTTATTTCCTGGAGTTGAGTTCTACTCTATAGTGTTTCATGAGCCCAGTATTAAATAGTAAGAAAGATAGGATGAAAAAGATCCTTATCTCTTGAAAAGGGAAGGAAACAGAAGGATGACACATAGTGCTGACTTTGTTGGTAGTATTGGATAAACAGGCATGGTTCCACATCAGGAGGTTCCTAGTTCTAATTCCTCTATCACCCTTACTTTCCATTAGCACCAGCGGGGATGCATTGGTCCTATCTCTATATTTAAGAACCAATTTCACTGTTCCTCACTACTTAAAAGCTTTATGCTTTCATGGTGTGGACACACCCTCCAACACGGAAGATTGCAAATCCTTCATGATTGCTTACTTACAGTGGCTAAAGAATTCATCTCTCTGTAGTGAGCCTAGTAATACTCTTCTCTTAAATTAGCTCGGATTGTTCTTGAATAACATATAACCATAGCCAGGCTTATATTTAAAACCTTTCAAGCTTAGTATTACTTGTCACAGCTTGTACTTCATTGACATAGCCATCAAGAGTAGAGGGCCACATCCATAGAAGAATAAAGCATCGGATGACTTCAAGAGGATTCATCATTCATTTAAATACATTTTCCATAGAAGCCTTCATATGCCTATTAAGAATATATCTTTTTTTTAAACAAATGAAGAGATAATAGCATAGAATGACTAAGCAGAAAAGACTAAAAGAATACAGAGGAAAAGCCTACTTGGTAACAAAGGTTTATGATGTTCACTGGGCCTCCTACTGGAGACCTTTCCCAGTTCTTCCAGTTTCTAGATCCTTCTCCTCTAAATCAACTTCCATCTACTCTGTCTATACCTTGAATGTACCCATTTATTTACATGTCATCTCATCTCTCCCATTAGAATGTAAACTCCTTGAGGGCTAGGGCTAATTTTTGTCTTTTTGTATCCCTAGGGCTTTGGCACAAGTAGGCATTGAATAAGTGCTCATTGATTGACTCATTGGTTGGTTGAATGGATAACTGTCGATCTACCCACCTTACTTTTCTTATTTTCTATATGTGTCGTAGGGAATCACAGTTGATGGCGAAGCTGTTTTATGCCACTCACACCTTTGTTGAACCAGTGCTTTGTTCTCTTTACACGTGTTGTTTGGCAGTCGTACAAGCAGCAGTACATGAAGTGGTATGAAAAAATCCTGTGAGAGGGCATCAGCAGCTATTTTCATATTAGGAGATTCTGAATTTGGAGGCCAATGTTTCTCTCTGTCAACTTTCAAGATTGGGGGCATCATGTGAAATTTTGTCTTTTAGGAGAGATGAAACGATCAATTTCTTGCAGTCACTGCAAGTGTGGAAGAGAGGGAAAGAGATACCAATAGCCCATTTTAATGGTGGCCACCACCATCCTAGGTGGGGAAGGGCAGAGTTAAATTAGGAAGGAATGTCTACAATGTGCATTACCTGGGAGAAAGTGTACCAGGACACCATGATGTTTTAATCCTGCTTTTTGATTGTCTTGTCAGTACCCTCTACATTTGGATACCCCAGAACAAAGCTCTAGTTCTCCTGGCTCCAGGTATGGCTCCGGGCTTCAGTTGTCTAAAGAACTGTCACTGTTGACTAGCTGGTTTTTGTTTGTTTGTTTTGTTTTAATCTTGCTGCTATCAGAGGGCAGTATGACTAGTGCTCAACGTAACGGGCAGTTAGCACACATGATTCTGTGTGCTAAACCCAGGGAGGTTCTAGAGGTCAGTGACCAAGCACACAGTGTCTCTTCTTCTTGTCAGGAACTGAATTTTCATTTTGGAGGAAATTATACTGAGGTATTCATTAGAAGCATCCAACAATATCAGGGTTCTTTGGGGTTGATAAGCACCATGGTTACAAAACAGGCAGTCTTTGTGCAGGGAGATAAAGGTCCAAGTTTTGTGAACTGGAAAAAAAGTCTGAGGAGGTTATTATGTGAAGCGAGGAATATATACAGGGAACATGGCGTCAAATTACAAGGGTCAGCAGCTTCCTGGCTTTTTCAGCATATTGAATGAAGATACAGCAGTGCCTGTGTTCTGTGTATGTCTTGATGCTACATTAGCCTCTGCATTTAACAGCAGGCTACCTGTGAATGAATGGGATTCTCAGCTGTAGTTTCATAACTTCCCTGGGACCTTGGGACCTTGGACCTACTGCACTTACAGCAATGGGGGTGCAGACATTGCTGAATTTTTCTGGGCTGTTCTACTTGTGTGCAAAATTGGTGTCAGCTATATTTTTAAATTACTTTAAAATTGTATTGATGCTTGTTTTTTTAATGCCCAAATGATTTTTTAAAAAAAATAGAACCTTGCCCACCACTCATAATAAAGAAAACCAGTTGAATAAATAGAGGCACAAAACAACTGCATATAACAATATTCACAACATTCTACACCCATACTCCTCTACCTCTCTACTGAGAGATGGAACATTTATTTCATCACTTGCTCTTTGGGACCAATTCATTGTAACTGATCTGAGTTAAGTTATCTTCTAGGGCTGCTGTTGTTAAGACTATTGTCTTAATTTTTCCCCTTGTTATAATTTTTTCCTTATGTATCAGTTCTTTCCTAAGTTCTCTCACACTCATTTCTTTTGAAATAATAATATGCCATTATATTCATATAACACCATTTATTCAGCCATCCCTCAGTTGATGGACACCATTTTTTCCTAGTTTTAATATCTACTCACTTCTCCTCTCTTCTCCTCTCCTCGCTTCTCATTTCCTTTCTTTCCCCTTCCCTTCTCTTCTCTCCTTTTGCCTTTTCATTCACTACCACAAAGAAAGTGCTGCTGTAAATATTTGTTGCATATTGTCACTTTTGCTTTTAATGATACACTGGCATCATCCTTCTAGGAGAGGTGGACTATGAATTCTTTGTGTGGAAGGGAAATACACACTAATGAAACTTTGAAACTATTATCAACTTCTATAGCAGTCAAGGTTCAAGAGTTTTCAGTAGTGTTTAAGCTAATTCCAATTTTGAGAGAGAGAGAGAGAGAGAGAGAGAGAGAGAGAGAGAGAGAGAGAGAGAGTCTCTGTGTGTGTGTGTGTGTGTGTGTGTGTGCACGTGCGTGTGTATGGTTACTTTACAAGGCTGAACTTAGGTTTGAACATATGGTACCTTTTCCTAATGAATGTGTAAAAGCCAAGAAATGGACCTATCATTCTGGAAGAAAATAAGATGAAGGAGTTACTTTTTTAAGCTGTCATTCTTCTGAAAGAGACAATTTCCTGCCTTGGTTTAAGGAAGTGAATGATAAATAACAGATGGCTAATAAGTAACTGCTTTCTTTATTTCAGAAACGTTCCTCTTGCAATATGTATATCAATGATCATAGTCACTGTTTGCTATGTCCTAACGAATGTGGCCTATTTCACTACCATCAGTGCTGAAGAGTTGCTGCTCTCCAAAGCCGTGGCAGTGGTATGTTCAAGTTGGGGAAAAGGCAAATGCGAAATGGGTTATGGAGCTGTTGTAATGTGATGATAGTTTCTTCTGGCAGAAAGCTGTTGAAGCTCTGATAGTAGGCATCTGGGCAAAGAAGTGAAGAAGATCCTGGATATTAGTTTTTATGGAAGTATGTTAAAATAAACAGCATCACTTTTATGGCATCCTTTTCCTTGGCATATCCCATTTAATTTATATAGCTAGAATTCTATAAAACAACTGCTATTTTTAATGATCATTTAATGTATTTTCTACATTAGATTTTTTTATAGCTAACATAGGCCCACATGTGGAACTTGGATGACTTTCAGTGTTGGGGATGTTTGGAGGGGGCAATTTTTTTTAAAGGAATATAGCTTACCACTGGGGTACTCAGAGACTATATGGACAGTAATTGAATCCAAACAAGAATGTATCATTGGCATTCAAATCATTTTAAATTGCGATCATTGCCATTGGAAAATGCCAATGGGATCTGTCTAACTGAACGTCTTAGAGTAACTTCTTCCCAAAGTTCCTTTTTAGGATTTTGGAGTTAACCAAACTGTAGACATAGCAATTGTTAACCGTTCTCAGAAAGTCAGTCAGTAAGTGTTTATTAACAGGTCTTCTCTGTAACTGGCACTGTGCTAAGTGCCGGATATTTAAAAAAAAAAAAAAGGAAAAAACCAGTCCATGCCCTTGAGGAGTTCACAATCTAAGGGTACATAGTCAACTATGCATAAATAAGATAGAAGCAGGATCAACCAGAGATAATCAAGAAGGGAAATAAGAAAGTTAAGAGGGATTGTGAAGGATTTCTTGTAAATATTCACCACATGGTCTATGAAAACAAAATATTAATCCTTTCTTTTTAGAAGAAGAAAACCCAAAATGTTTAGTTGAAATCCCATAGCGGTGAAAGGCAGCTTGGAATAGTAGAGAGAGAGAGAGAGGGAGGAAAGGAGGGGGAGAGAGAGAGAGAGAGAGAGAGAGAGAGAGAGAGAGAGAGAGAGAGAGAGAGATAGCACACGTCCAAACCCAGCCAGACCTGTGTACAATTCATGCTTCTGATATATAATAGCTATGTAACTGTGGCCACATCACTTGATTTCTCAGTGCTCTAGGCCACTCTCTAAGATTACAAGTCGAAAATAAAGTTCAACCCCCATTGGTAGAAGAATTTTCCTTGCCTGGGAGTTCCCTATATCAATGAAATCACAGTCCTTTGGCAATGGAGAAACAGATTAGTTTGTGAATCCCCAGTCTCGGCTGATTGTCCTTAAGATGGTAGTACTCTCTGAGTGTCTACCCAGCCAGCTCTACTGATTAAGAATAAGTTGCCTAATTTCTTTTGGTCACATGTGGGAGTTTAATAGACTAAGAATGATTTTGCTTACTGCAACTAGTTGTACCAAATAAATCATGTGTATTTTACTCGTTTCAAGTCAGCAACGTGATTTTAACATTTAAAGGTTGTCATTTTTTTTTGTCCTGATATGGACTGAGATAATAAGGTATTATCTGTATCAAAGGCAATCAATCAATGCTAGACATGTTCATATTTGTGGATATTTGTATATCCAGCATATAACTTAATGCTTTGCACATAGTAAGTGCTTCATTCATTCATTCATTCATTCATTCATTCATTCATATCACTGAGGAAAGCATCCTATGTTCCATATTCTGAAGAAATAATGTTAAACATTATGTTTCATATTTTATTTTACTTTTTGTGTATTTGTGTTTTGTCTAATTTCTGTGTCATTTATTGTATAATATATGATGAGTTGACTAAGTAAGTTTTCTGTAGATGTGTTCTTATATCCTTAGAGTCTAAGAAGCAGTAGAATGCATTTGGGATGGATAGGAGGAGGTGAGAGAAGTATTAGGAAGAACCCCAGCTCCTCACTGATAATATGGATAACTGATGCCTTAAAATTATGTCCCCTGCTCTGCCATGATTATTGTCACGATCATTAGCTCAAACAGGTCTGACTGTTTGAATAGAGATGAGGGTGATAGGCAGCCTTTCTCTTCCCCTCATGTCTAGCTCCTGCATGTATAAGAATGTTCTCAAATGGGTCACAGGATTTCCAGTTTTCTATTATAAACAAAGAGCAGGACCACTCTTAATCCACAAATTTGGTCTCTGAAATGTCATGTGGGCTAGAAGGAGGAAGTGACTTTCTATTCACTTAATGAAATTAGAATCTCCCTGTTCCAAAGTAATTTCCTGTGGATAGAAGTCTTAAGGAAACAGCAATGACTACCTCGTTAAGGAGAATTGAGGAGATGTACAATTGAACCAGTGTCCAGAGTGACTGGATATTAGACTCTGGAATTTTGTTCTTAACTCTTCTCCCCTTGAAACCTTCCCTCTTTCAAACTTCCTAATTACTGTTGAAAGCACCACGATCCTCTTAGTTACCCTGTCTTACAATACAACTATCATCGATGTTTCCTCACTCACACTCACCTCTCATAGAAAATCTGTTACTAAGTCTTGTCATTTCTACCTTTACAACATTTGTCCTATACTTCCCCTTCTCTTCACTCACATGAGTGACCACCCTGATTCATGCTCTTTTCACCTCAGTTCTGTATTTCTACAGTAGTTTTATGATTAGTCTCTCTGTCTCAAGTTTCTCCTCACTCCCATCCATTCCCTACTCAACTGCCCAAATGATTTTTACTAAAGCACAGGTCAGACCTGTCCTACACGTCACCTTCCTACTCAGTATAACTTCAGTGACTCTCTATTACCTCCAGGATTTAATACAAAACCCTCTGTTTACAACCTGACCCCTTCCTATCTTTCTAGTCTCCTTACATTTACTTTACTTCCCTTCATGTACTTTACAGCCACTGACACTCATTTTCTGGCTGTTCCTTGCACACAATACTATCTCCTGAGTTTTCTCTGGCTGTCTCCAATGCCTAAAATACTCTCCTTCCCCACACACAAAATATATTTCTGTATATAATTATAATCTATCAATATCTACATAGATATAGCTAACTGTATGCAATGGATTGCATATTGTCCTCTCCGTTAGAACTTAAGCTCCTTCAGGGCAGAGATAATAGTTTTGCTTTGCTTTGTGTATGTGTGTGTGTGTGTGTGTGTGTGTGTGTGTGTGTGTGTGTATGTGTGTGTGTGTCCCCAGCACTTAGCACAGTGCTTGGTATATAAGTAAGAGCTAAGAAATGTTTGGTGAATGACCACTTGCTTTCTCATCTTCCTGATCCTGCTGTTGCTCTCTCTTACCCATGGGCTGCTGAAAGATAGGGTGACTCCTTCTTCTCATTTTTCTTCTACTCCTTTCCTCTCTGTCCACATTCAATGTGTTCATGTATGATCAACTGAGACTAAAAAGGGTAATCAATCCACTGTGGTCCACTTTATAAGAATAATTTTCTACCTTATGCAGTCAAGAATTATTACTAAGAAATCTATTTTATCCTTCAAAAAGTGCTTCATCTTTCTTCCACTTTATGACAAGTTTGAATATCTCCTTTATTGTGTCTTTCTCTAGACCTTTGCAGAAAGGCTTTTGGGAAAATTCTCAATAGCTGTCCCAGTCTTTGTTGCCCTTTCCTGTTTTGGCTCCATGAATGGGGGCATTTTTGCTGTCTCCAGGTGAGTGAATAAATGGCTTATAATTCAAAGATGAGAGCTCTTTGGTCGTGCTGGTTCGACTAACCAAAAAAATGCTTGTAAAAGTGGAATGAGGAGTTGTGCTAGAACAGAGCTGTTAGATAATCTCTAAGGTTCCTTCTAGTTCTAGATCCTAAGATTTTATGGAGTTCCCAAATAGGGAAAGAAACATTGAGATGTCCTTCCTTCATTATAACCCACAGGTATGCTTTTTTCTTGAGACATTACCCTTCACTTGATGATCATCCCTTTTGAGGTGAGTGAGCAATAGTATTTTTTTGCAGTGAGAATGGCAGGTGCAATAGTATAGGTTTATTTTTGGCTGTGATGGTCTCTTGCACCTAGAAAGGACCACTAGAAATTACTATCTAATTAGATAGATAGATAGATAGATAAGATATTTAGATAATAGATATAGATGTAGAAGCATAGTGGATAATGAGTTGGTATTTTTTTTTTAAAGCTAGGGACCTGGAATCAAATCTTGCCTCAGACACATGATCCCCATGTGACTCTGGGGAAGTTACTTCCAAGTATTTTAGATAGCTCACTACAATAGTAAGTTTCTGAGATGTCAGCTTGAATTGATAGAGGAAGTTCTTTAAGTCCAATCCCTGTTTGGAGGAGAGAGAGAGAGAGAGAGAGACAGACAGACAGACAGACAGACAGAGTCAGACAGATGTGACAGAGAGACAGAGATCAAAGACCTGCATTATCTGCAAAGAGCCTTTTGGTTTTATTTTTATCATTATTATTATTATCACCACAAACATTATCATTATCATTACTGTTGTTTCCAGGCTTATTTTTATCAATGCTTTCACTGGTATGAAAAAGGCCCTTTACCAATGCAGATCAATGAAGCACTCTTTAATTCAAGCCTTAAATAGGGGGCATTGAAGGTTAAAGGACTCATGTAGGGCCATGCAGCTAGTATGTAGGAGAGGCAGATCCCAGGTTTGAACCCAGGTTTTCCTGACTCCAAGGCCGGCACTCCAACCCCTAATGTCATGCTATCTTTCTTGTTTTAAACTTGGAATGATTAAAACAGTCAGCTTTTCCATTGTCGATATTATTTACCACTGATTTTTTTTTTAACACAGGAAGTAACAGTAAATGAGACATGACTATTCAATCTACCTAATGAACAATAGTATGGGGTTGGCAAATTTTGTATACTTCTAAATTCAATTTCTTTCACTGTTTACATAGCCCTGCCTCAAAGGAGAAATGCAAAAATTTACCTTGGGAGAACAGAGCCCATTCCATATGAAAAGCTTCTCATTTTCTCAAGTTTTCCTTTATGGAATGAACATTTGTAAAGTTAATCCACATTTTTCTCCCATCAGGTTGTTTTATGTTGCTTCCCGTGAGGGTCACCTTCCAGAAATCCTCTCCATGATTCATGTCCGCAAGTACACTCCTCTGCCAGCTGTCATTGTATTGGTAATGCATATTAACAAGTGTTTCTCCATGTAACTGGGGATAACAAGCTTGCAAAGATGAGTTCAAAGAAAACTTCTCAGGGGCTGCTTTCTTCTCTTTTCTTGCTGAAGCACGTAAGGGGTAGGATGAGACTTGCATGAATAGTGTTCAGTCCATATAGATTCGTTTTTCATTACTGACATTTATGTTATACGCTAAGGTTTGTGAGGGTCTCTATAAACATAAACTCTTTTGAGCCTTACAACAAACAATAAACTTTCGAGATAGACACTGCAAATGTTATTAGCCTCATTTTACAGATGAAACTGAGGGGTCAGAAGGTTTATGTAACTTTCCTTTGTTCACACAACTAATTAACTAATTAAATAAACCAGTTCCTAATGCTCAGGGCCAGCACTCTCCACTATACAACATTGGGATTACAGTTCTAGAATTGAAAAGGGCTTCATAAGCTACCTCCTGCAACCCTCTCATTTCATAGATGAGGAACTGAGACCCAGTATGTTATGTGTGTTTTCAAAGGTCACAAAGGTAGTAAGTATTAGCAGTGGGATTTGAACCCAAATCTTCTGGGTACTCTTTTTATTTTAGTACATTGCCTCTCTTTGCTCCATCTTTCTTCCTAGTCATATTTAACTCTCCCAGAGAGGTAACTAAAGCCCATCTCATTATGATTTTCCTAAGAGTTTGAAGGTTTGAAGGGAAATGATTAGCTTGACCCCTGTCACTGACTCAAAGACTTGTAGAAAAGGCTGTCTGAGTAATGAGGCTCAGATTCACTTAATTGAAAGTGAAGCCCAGTGCTGTAGACTGAGAACACCCAGGCTCATCATAGACACACTTTATAATGAAAAGCATAGACAATTACACACAAAGATAATGGAGGAAGACTTGGGCTGTGAGAATGATTCTGTGATTAAAAATGAGACAGTTGGTGAGAGTATCTGAAAGGAAGCACATACACATACTAAAATGGAAATTAAAGTTGCAACATTTTTCATTTAGGGAGATATATTTTGGAAAGATTGGGCATAATAGAATGGAAAACGCTCTTGAGGTCCGTTGCTGATGTGATGTAATGTCTTACCTATTATTTTGCAACACTTCCATCAGTTGTGAGGTGCACCAGATAAGGCATTGGATGTTTTTTTTTTAATGCATTTAATTTGTTTCAAAATGTTTCCCTGAAAATTCTTTCTAAAGTACATGTTCTCCATAAGCTTCCCTTGTGAGAATAGAACATATTATTTATTCTGTGAAGAGGGCTTTCATTTAAAGCCCAGACTGTCACTCAGGTCGTCCTTGGTATGCACAGCTGCAGAGATACTTTGTGCTGATCTCGGCTTCTTCCTTATTTTCTGCTGTCTTGAGAGTCAGACAAGGCAGGCATATAGTGAGAATAACTTTGGAAGGAAAGAAAGGTCAGTGGTTTGTGTTCAGGAGCAAAGGTACCATTATTTAGAGATGCCCACATCTCAGGTGTATATCTCAAGGAATTTATTGGGCAGCATTTAATAGAGGAAGAGCCATTGGTTTTCAAAATGCCTTATGCCATTATTAGCAGTTATTACCTCCTATACAGCCATACTTCAAAAACAAAACAAAGAAACAGGCTTATAGCACCATAGATTTATCTCTTGCCTGCATTATTTTAATAGGTTTCTGATTGGTTTGCCTGCAACCCTTTCTCCCACACCAATTCTCCACTTAATTGCCAAATTGGTATACCTGAACTTGTGATTGGACCGTGTCAAGCTCCGTTCAAGAAGTGCCAGTGATTCCCTTCTGCTCTTAGATAGATTGAAAAACAAACTCCCCTGTTTGACAGTTAAAAGTTCTTCACAGTCTGATGTTAACTTATGTTTTCAGACCAATTGTATATTGCTTCTTCTCATAGTCTCCATTTGACCCAAACCTGTCTACTTGCCCATTAATGGTATTCTATCTCCCTCCTTTCTATCTTTGTCCAGGATGTTTCCCATGCTTAGATTGCTTTCCCTCCTCACCTCAGCTGCTTGGAAACCCTTACCTCCTTCCAAACTCAATTCAGTAGGCATCACTTACGAGAAGCTTTTCCTGATTCTTCTAGTTCTTGGTGCTTCTCCCAATCCTTGAAGTTATAGTTATTTTATTTTTACTCCTCTGTGTATATGTTATTCTGTGTAGAATGGAAACAAATATACAACTAGAACGTAAGCTTATTTTCGTCTTTGTATCCCTAATGCTTAGCACACTTCCTGGCATGTAGTAGGGGTCTTATAAATGCTTATAGAATTGAATTGAATTTTGAACTCTAAGGGAACATAAAGGGCATCTAATCCAAGCTGTACCTTTGACAGAGAATAGGAAACAGGCAACCAGAGAAATCAAATAATTAGCCCAAGGGCACTCAAGTTACTATGATCTTAAAAAAGAAAATCAATGCCAAGTTAACCATTTTCAACTGTAACAAGTGTCCTAAATAGGATAAGAATCCAGATACTCTGTCTCCAAAGTTTAATTTCTTTGACTTGGTATAAAAATATTCTCTTTTTTCTGAGATGAAAGGAACAAGCCCACAACCAGATGCTGATATTAAAGTAGATCAGCCCCATTCGTTGCTTACTAACATTGGTTAACTAACCGTTAAGGGTTAGTCATTCTGTGGGCAGGTGGGTGGGGTAATAGTGATGATCCTGCTTTTTGTCATGCTGCAAAATGCTGCTGTTAGTCTAGTTTCTCACAACACTCTGGTGGCTTACTGGTCTGAGGCCATTCGAAATCTAATTAGGGGCTGGTGCTCGGTAGTGCTCTTGTTATTTGTGTGTTACATTTTGCTAGACTCAGTTGCGATCTTTTCTCTCTTTTTTCCCCCCCCAACCTACAGTACCCTTTGACAATGATAATGCTTTTCTTCGGTGATCTTTATGGTCTCCTGAATTTCCTCAGTTTTGCCAGGTGGCTTTTTATTGGATTAGCAGTTGCAGGGCTGATTTATCTCCGATACAAACGACCAGATATGCATCGTCCTTTCAAGGTAACCTCAGTCATTTTAATGGTTTTACATGAATCTTTCTCCCCAAGACGTAGCTGTCCACTTTGGACAATTCAATGATGATACTGATGATGGGAGCCTCCTTGAATACAGGGCTTAACTCTTCCTGACAAATGCATGCCCAATGGATTTCCTTTAGCTGTGAAAGAAAAAAAAAAATCAGCACAAGGCTATTTTCCCTGAAGGAGGAAGCTCTTAGTAGACTTGTGGTTTGAGTTCCTATGACCACACCTGTTGGCTTGAGGGGCTGAACATTTAGAAACTTCCTTCCAGATGTCTTCTGTGACAAGTTGGAAAAGAATGTTCTTAGGATCATCAAGAGCCATAAAGACGTTCAAGGAATCAGATAGAGATTTATGAGAGGCTATTCATTATTACATTATTCTACTGGATTTGTGATCTCATAGATCTGGTTATTTCAGGGGCATGTTGGGAAATGTTTAATCACTGGCTCCCCGGGGTGGGGGTGGGGATTAAACGTTTAAGTTTAATCTGCACTATTAACATTTTCTACATCACTTTAAGTCTTGACAATCAACAAAATGATAAATCCTCTGATTTGTAGCATTTGCTGAATCTTGAGGTATAAATGAGTAATCAATTCTCAAGAGGCACTATTCAGTACACCCCTGTTATTTCCTCCAAATGATGAAGATTGCAGGTAGTGCGTGTCTTCTCATTCAGTGCTATACTTGTCCATATCCTTCTAGAGGTCTGATTGAGTTAAAATGCATAGAGGGAATTTCACCTTTGTCTCAGCACCCAAGATAGGACCTTTCATATACTAGAGGCAGTTAGCTGGTGCTGTACATAGGGTAGTGGAATTGGAATCAAAAAGTGCTGGAGACACACACACACACACACACACACACACACACACACACTGTTTGATTGGTCTTGGGCAAGTCATTTAATTACTTAGCCTCTAAGCCAATATGTAACATGTTAAATTCAAATAGAAGTGGATCGCTACTGACCTTATATTGACTTAGAGAATGTGAGTTTGTGATTTTCTATGTAGCATTTTATTTATTTATTTTTGTTAAACATTTCCCAAGTATATTTTAATCCAATTCACCACACTTGAGAGTTTTATGGGATGCTTAGGTCTGCAACTCTAAGAGTCTGATTGTCTGCTCCAAGCAACTTTCTGTGGCTGTTAATTGCAGAGAAGATTAGTAGACATTAGTAGAGGTAGTTTGTTCTCTGGGAGTCCTCTATACTAAAGAAATCAGCGGTCTGGTCATTATCATTATTTTTATTATTATTGTTATCCTTATAATCTGCCAAGAGATCTATTATATGTGATAAAGGCCTTTCTCTTTACATCCAGAGATAATTAAATGTAAGAAATTAGGAGTTTACAAATGAAATATTTTGAATATTTTAATCTCACTAATGTAGCTACTTGATATTATCTTATGGTTTATTTTTCTAAACCATATACTCGAAAAAGAGAAATATTATTAAGTTCATTTTGGTGAGTAGAATTCAAGGAGGATATCACTTTACAGAATGTCTCTTTTGTCCATCATACCTTTCCTTTGGAAAGCTGAATATTATGGCCACAGCTTCTCCGAATCCTTCATGGAATTGATTGGGTCTTGTCATTTGGTCCCCTTTAAAACCATACTGATAATGTTGTCAGAAAGCTTTTAAATTATATTCAATGTATAGAGTTGGGCACCATCTTCATCAGGATCAAAGAGGAATTTACCTCTTCTCTACTTTGTCAGTCCTTGTGGCATATCTCAGAAAAGAAATCGAAACACACTTAATCATTTTTAAGTGTAAGAAGTGGTCTATGCTACTTGTAGAATGTTAAAATGGATTATAATGGCAACTCTCAAAGATTCAATGTTTGAAGTCCAAGTATATATAACACGTTCATCACAACTATAACTAAGGTAGGACAACTAGGTCTTTACTCCAGCGTGTTAACATTTTAGCCCACAGACAGTACTTCATAATCCTTCAGAGGTACAAAACCTGATTAATTTAGTTAAGGTTTAGTTTAGTTCAAAAAAGGAAACTTCCAGAAGATTCCTTCTTCATCCCTTCAGCTGTTGAACCCAGTGTAAGCTGTTATCCCTTCTGGGGGTGGGGAACCTGCAGCCTCAAGCCCACAGATCTCCTTTTTGTGAAGTTTGGATTCAGTCAAAGGGCTGCACTTGAGGACCTAGAAGGTCACATGTGGTCTCGAGGCTGTCAGCAGCTCCTTGCTGTATCCCAGTCTTTTTCTCCAGCTTCCACCCCAATGGAAATTTTCCTTAAAATGTTGTCTGGATATTTTACATATTGTTTGCCCCGATGTTTGTTTTATTTTGTTTTGTTTTTGGCAAAGTTTGTACTGGATGGCAAAAAGTTTACTTACATCTGTAACAATAATACTTAACCAATATAAGAAAGGGCATCTGTAGAGAGATAGTGTTCTTAACTTTATGTTTATGAGGTACAGACTTCTGCCTCTACCTATTCCAAACAAATGTTTTAATACATACTCTGTGATCCCATTTTTGGACATTCCATCAATTGTATTCAACTCTATAATTATAAGAAATCGCTCAACTTTCATTTGTTTGTATTGTTACATTCTGGAGCTAGTCAGTATCCAAAGACAGCTCAAAGTGACCTTTGTCATTGTCTTTTGTTTCAGGTGCCACTGTTTATACCAGCTCTGTTTTCCTTCACCTGCTTTTTCATGGTGGCCTTGTCCCTTTATTCTGATCCATTCAGTACTGGGATAGGTTTTGGGATCACGCTGACTGGTATCCCAGCTTACTACTTCTTCATTGTCTGGGACAAGAAGCCAAAGTGGTTCCAGAGAATATCAGGTAATGTTCCTGACATCATACAAGAGCTTAAGAGAGGAAGATATATACATATTATTGTTAAAGTTGCACTGGTAGGGATATATGTATTCCTTAAAACAGTAGCACAAATTAAAATGGCAATTGCATTGCATTGACAAGATAAAACCATCACCCCTGCCCTCAAGGAGCTTAAGCCTAATGGCAACCATCACACATATTATTATATCTATGTAGGGGGCAGCTAGGTAGTACAGAGGATAGAATGCCAGGCTGAGTCAGGAAGACTCATCTTTCTGAGTTCAAATCTGGCCCCAGACACTTACTAGCTGTGTGACCCTGGGCAAGTCACTTAACCCTGTTTGCCTTAGTTTTCTCTTCCCTTACATCTATCATGAGCCAGCATCTGTGCTAACAGAAATGGCTGCTTTACAGACATCGTAGACATTGTATTTAAACTGGGCCATGAAGTAAGGGTTTTAAGTCAAGCAGAGAAAAGGATGGGTTTTAGTTTATGCTTGGCATTGGGAGATTGCTTAATGCATTGGTGTCAAACTTATATAGAACAGGGGCCACTAAACCCTATTTGAGTGAGGATCCCTATGGGGAGCATATTGACTTAGTTTTAAAATGTAATGTTATCTATGTTTTATTGCATTTTTAATTTTTTTGTTAAATATTTCCCAATTACATTTTAATCTGATTCCAGCAGAATTTAGGATTGTTGCAGGGTGCCTGCTGCCTCTTTGGTAGCTCTGGTATAAAGAAAGGTCAGAGGCTAGAAGCATGGAATCTATTCAGAAAATTGACAGAGAGTAGTCTAGTGTGGCGTATGGAATCCTTAGTATATATCCTAGAGTATATATCCTAGGCTAATCCTTAGGGCTAATCCTGTGGAAGAAAAGAAAAAGACTTCCTAGGAACCTGTCAAAATGCATTACAATGTCAGGAGATATTGCTTCTCTTCACTTCCCCCAAATTTCTATCTCTTATCCTCTGGAATCCCAATCTCTACCTTCTTGATAGATAAAGGAGAAAGTCTTCAAAACCAAAAACCACTACAGTACAGGAGGAGGGGGAAGGTGGGTTATATTTCAGGCATTCCAAACAGGAAGTCTGTATTTGTCCAAAGAAAAATTGTTACATGTGGTGAGTCAGTTCTCTACTGCATTTCATGTGCTATATTATAGATTAACAGGCTTTTTTGGTCTAGCCAGGGAGTGTGGACACCATACTTCCAAAGAAAAGTTGATTCTGAGTTACAAACAACTCACATTAAAAACAAAACAAAATAACACTTTTTGCAGGACAAACAGTTTCTAAATTGAGGGCTGCTCTCATTTGAAGTGAGTGTTTTCTGGAAGGACAAGAAGCGTTTGAATTCAAGTCACTAAGCCCTTTTCGGGCTAGGCTGATACCACTGTTGGAAGAGCCTTGCCAGGACACTTACTTCAAGCAGAGAATAGCTCTTTAAGATTTTAAAGCTATTAAACCCTGTTAAAGAATTTTTAGATAAAAAATGTTATTAGCTATGTAATGACCTACTTGTACTTTCCAATCCCTTAAGTACTTAATTACAGTGGTTCAGGATTGGGAATAAAGGCAGTTTAATCAAAATGCTGCATTTCAGAGAGCCCAAGGTAGGATTTTGTACGTGGTGGCTTTTCAATAAATGTTGACTAAAATCCCCACCCCCCAAAAAAAAGCAAAAACAACTTGAATTATTTGGGAGGAAGGGAATGAAGACTCTACTTTATTACCATAGACTGTAAAGTTATGGCTTTTGTGCTTAATTCTTTCACTGTAACTAGGTACAGCTGTTACTGTAACTGTTTGAGAGCAGGGACCTAGTCTTCTCAATGTTCTGCACTGAACCCAGTACCTAGCACAGGAGGAGCTGTTTGTTGTATTGTCAGTCATATGTAGGACATGGGCACACCCTGGGACATGTATGTGTGTTGTACTGCACTGTATCAATATCAGATTGTAGCATGGAGGGAAAAAGGCTAAATTTGAAGTTGGAAGATCTAGTAAAGATGACAAATAGGTTGAAGTGGATGCTATGTGGTGTCACAGAAACTTATTCAGAATCTAGCTGTCATGGGCAGATTTGCCTCTTTCATTTTTGCATTAGTGTTTAGGGTTCGATTCAGTTCACAGCAGCAAGTATCTACTATGTACTAGGTATTGTGCTAATAAGACCTGAGGGTACAAAGACAGAAGTGAGATAACCTCTGGCCTCAAAGAGCTTAATTCTACTGGAAGGGTACGTCATGTTCACTATAATAAGCAAATCTAAACGACATATAAAATGCATATAAAGTCATATGTAAGGTTGAAGAAGACCACTGACAGCTGGGGGAACTTGGCGTGTGTTAGCATTGGAGATCCAGGACCCACTGTCTACTCAAACTAGATTTTGCATTCATTTATCTTGTCTCTACTTTTTGCTGTCAGAGTCTGAACTTATAACTCATTTTTGTTCTGAATAATATTTTGATAGATTCTGTTTCTGAAAATTTTGAAGAATTAGATTAATTTTTTTTAGTAACGGGTTAGTTAGCAAGTATTCTTAGCCCAGTCAAAATACTTCCCTTGAAATTTTATTATATTTTTTTTAGGCTGTTCATAAAATCCAGAAAGGGACTAGATGGACAGTGAATATTAGGATAGTGTGGAAGGCAAATCACCAGAGCTTCCTTTTAGCGTTCCTTTTCTCAGCTTAGCTCTTGCCAGGGTGAGTTCTGGTACATTCCTTAAATGAAATGCCCTCTTTTCCTCTGTAAGATGACATCCTGGAGCACTGTGAAAAATTAAGACATTTCTAGCATCCAACCAGTGCCTGACATAGAAGAGGTGCTTAATGAAGGCTGGTTGAGTACAGAATAAGGCATAAAATCATAGTCAAAAACATAAAGGTAGCATAATTCTTGCTAATTCTTGAGGGAAGGGTCTGATTTTCATTTTAAGACATAGTAGATATTTAATAAATGCTTTGTTGTTGTATTTAATTTAGAGAGAAATCTACAGTGCCCTGAAAGTTGTCCTAGAGCTGGGTTTTTGTGTGTACGTTGGAGCCCTTTCGCAATCTGGTGAAACCTATGAAGCCCTTCCAGAATAATGTTTTTAGCACATAAAATAAAATAACATAGGATTACACAGGAAACCTCTTATATTAACATATAGTTCTCAGACTATACATGCATATTGTGTGTACATATATGAGTGTAGTTCATACATACATGTATGTACATATGTGCACATATGTATTATATGCAAACATAAGAATCACTTGATTCATATATATGGAATGTTTATACATAATAAATATATTATATTATATAATTGTATAATATAATACAACATATTATAGATAATACAATATAGTATATACATATAATATATGATAATATATAATATATTATAATAGATATAATAATATAATATATAACATATCAAAGGATTCACATATATAAGTTCATATTCATAAAAGAATCAAGGGATTCTTATATTCATTTCTATCTAAGATTCCCTTAATTCTTGCTATTTCTGTCTCTCTCCTCTCTTCTTTATCTCTCTGTCATTTCTTCTCTCTTTCTCTTTCCTCTCTGTTTCTCTTTCTCTGTTCTCTCTCTGTGTATGTATGTATGTATGTGTATATATATGAAGAATCTCTGGTCTTAGAGGAAGTATGAGGGAAAACAGCTGGCATTTGTAGCCTGGTTTAAGATTTACAGAGTTATTTATGTATTTTATCTTATGATGAGATAATGAAAAGAGAAACTTGCCCCCTGCTAAGCTTTAGGAGGTTCATTTTCCCCTCTTCTGCCTCGCTGGTTTACAGTCTGTAAGCCAAGCAGCCTTTCCTGCTCCTGCTGCTGAAGGTGCCTTCTGCATTTCACACCTCTTCTTTTCTAATTCCAGCTTTTGCAGTTTCCTCAGTTGGTTCTCATTTCCTTCTTCCTTTCCCACTCATTCCTCCCTTTCAAAGCTCTTTGTAGCATTGTTTTCCTCCTCACTGATCTTTGAATATGTGCATGACCTCCATAGTTAGCTCTCATCCTTCCTGAATTTTACTGGCAATACTGTAGTGGGTGATTTTGAAAAAGAAATAGTGCCAGAACCTCCTGAGTATCTGGGGATCCTCTGACTTTAAACCAACATCTTATCAGTCATTATCTTTATAGCTTCCTTGTGACAGAATGCCAACAAGTAATGGCTTCCCCTGATTTTGTGTTATTCTCTACCCAAGCCCTCATGTACTTTGCAGTAAAATATAAGAAATCAATATTTATTGCGGGCCTAACAAAAACATATGCATACACACGTACATAAACATACATATGTATGTATACAGGCACAGATGCATATACATCTATACATGGATACAGGTATATGTGTATATAAAATACATACTTATGCATATATTCACACACATGTATGTGTACATATGTTTTCTGGGTGTCATGGATAAAACCTGCTGCAGAGCTGTTTTAGAGAGGAAACACATGTGAGCTCAACTATCTAGAAGGCTATTGACCATAACCTGCTATGTTGGAACATAGCCCTTTTTCCTGCTACAGTCTCTCATTTCTTGGCTGGAGATGGGCATCTTTAAAGCTGGCAGATTGTATGAACTTTCACTCAGCCACTTTAAAGGGGCACAGAGCCTCCAATGAGGTGATACCCAATATACCTAATATGCCTCTGCCAGCAGTGAGCTTTCGCTGACCACCATTAGGAAGCAGCAGAGAGCTGAGATTGACTTGGAGAGTGAGAGAATATTCAGAGCCTGAAAATCAGAGCTCCTGCAGCACTGATATTTGATTAATCTTTCTGGCCACAGGATGCCAGTGTTGAACCACTTTTTGCTTGATAGCGTTACTCCAGTGGAAATAAAGTGTGCTCTTTAAGGGAGCTGTGGGCTCCATGGAAAGGGTTTTTTTTTTTTTTACTTGCCAGCTGTGACAAGAGTAGCTAATTCCTCTGTTCTTTCTTTTCTTTTCTTTTTTTTTTTTAAACAT